GAATGACAAGAGGTCCGTAGTACCCTCACTACCGATTGTAGGAGTAGACAAGTGTACCTTATAGGAATATACCTGAAATCAACCCTAACAAAACTGGCAAAAAAATGCCTTGCAAAGCTTCAATTTTATACCAAAGGATTTCAATCCACCAAAGGGACTATTCAAAGCATCCTCTACTTCTCAAGGTAATCACCCCACTAACCAATAAGGTTCTTTGTTATATTAGCACTACAAGTTAAATTCTATGCACAATTAATCAGCTTCGAGGAGGTTTTATAAATGCACTTTACTTATATAGTACAGAGTAATTTATATATATATATATATATATATATATATATATATATATATATATATATATATAGAGAGAGAGAGAGAGAGAGAGAGAGAGCTCTTCTCATCAGGCCGGCCTGACGGGCTGCCCCGTCCGGCCGAGCCCGTTTGGGCACCTTCCCGGTGGAATTTTTTGATGAAATTTGTTGAGCATGTTCCTCATCAAGTCTAGTTTGTCCATACCAAATGTCAGCTCAAAATTCGATAGGGAAGGTCGTCAAATGATTTTTGCAAGTTAACTGGTCCGGAAAATACATATTCCGGACCAGTTAACTTGCAAAAATCATTTGATGACCTTCCCGATCGAATTTTGAGCTGAAATTTGGTATGGACAAACTAGACTTGATGAGGAACATGCTCAAAAAATTTCATCAAAAAATTCCACCGGGAAGGTGCCCAAACGGGCTCGGCCGGACGGGGCAGCCCGTCAGGCCGGCCTGACATGATGATTTCTCTCTCTCTCTCTCTCTATATATATATATATATATATATATATACATATACATATATATATGCACCTTATTTATAGTATGCTACGTTCGTCTCACTAACATTAAGACATGCGAGAGTGACACGGTTATTAAGAAAGGTGAGTTTATGTGGTCGATATTGAATTGATAAATTAAGAATAAAGTAAAAATGATTTAGAACTACACAAACTTTACCAAATTTGATACAAGACAATTTCAGTTAGATTTCCCAAAAAGGAAAAATGGGACAATCTGAGCGAAGCAGAGAGAGTAATATTTAGTTTTCCCTTTTTACAACATTAGCCACACTTTATCCATGTTGTTGTCCACATTCATACAAATAAACAAGCATATAAACTACGAAGTATCAATTATCACATGCATTTTAAGTATAAAAGTGTGCTAGTATAGCACACTTTCTAAAATTGGCACTCTTTTACCAAATTAATGCAATGCACTTTTATAACGTGCATAAGTGTATTGTAAATATGTAGAAAAGTGTAATAATATATCACATTTTCTATTACGGATTATTTTACATTGTCACTTTTTACAAAATGAAAATCACTCTTCTTCTAAAGGCATCATATTGTTTCATTATGATGACGTCTTTTGTTGTCAACCTTTATTAGCAAAAAAGTAAAATAAAAACGATTGAAAAGTGTATGGAAAAAGTAGGATAAGTGCATCAAAAGTTTAAATAAATGTGTACAAATCTGTTAAATGACTATATTGTTAAGTTGTGAAATGCACAAAATTGCTTAAATAAAAGCACATTGGTAAATATTACTCCGCACTCCGTACTAAATTTAATAATCTCTTATACGGAGTATTTCACAAATTGAAGAGCATGTTTGAATTCAATTATACTAATTACATGTTCAAAATAGTACAGAGTATTATAGAGCCTAAAGTATAATAACCAATATATAAATTAAGAAGCATAGAGCAAATAAATTTAATCTGCAAAATAATCCTATATACATTACGTCAAAAAGTTAATGAGGATAAAGTATAAAAATAACCAAACAATGAAGAGAAAATAAAGATTGATGACCATCGAATGAATTAATTAATGGAGTTAGAAGTATGTGTCTACTACTAAACATGACAAGGCAGAAGAAATGACATAACAACTCTATACGTACAATTAGGGATATGTGAAAACAATTGTTGATCAAAGAGTTAAAAGTCATTCTCATGTCTTCCATTGTATTCTCAAATGATCTAAACTCTATATAGACACAAACAATATTCAATCCATATCCTCAAAATATTTTGGCATCCCCTAACATGAATCAGAGTCAACATTATCAGAACCAAACTCTCTCTCTACATATATACATATACATTTTAACTAAAGTGAGAAATGCATCTAATGCGAGATATGGAAATAAATCTTAGCCGTTACATTTACGGTTTTGCACTAAAATAACTCAATGGTACAATAGGATTTAAATTTTGCAATGCACTAAAACTGTTTCATCTTGCACTAAAATTTGGTGATGTTGCATCAAAATAACTTCATATTACACTACACAAATGTAATACAAAATTTTCACAGGTATTTACAAAAATGCCACCGTGCTAGGTTGCATATTTCAATGCAAATTTTCACAAGTATTTACAAAAACATACATATAAAATGCATTTATCTTTCAAAAATTATTTTACTGCCTTTCAGATTGACTTTTTAGATGAAATTTGATGGGTATAAACTAAACTTGATGAAGAACATGCCCAAAAAATGGCATCAAAAAGTTCCACAGGAAAGAGGCCCAAACAAACCTGACCCCCCCCTCTCTCCCTCCCTCCCCTACACACACTCTCTCTCTCTCTCTCTCTCCGTATAAGGGGAAAATTAGCTACAAACTATGCTTATTGTGAAAACGTTTGTACGATACATATTTACGTTATTTGTATTGCATATTGAGATTCAAAGTGTTACATATTATTCAGCCATATTATGGAAACATCATATTAACGTTCAAAGAGTTGCAACCTAAAAAAGTTGACTTTTATTACAAAAATGCCACTGTGCCTTTATAGCTTTTAGATCAACTCAACGGATGACCAAGATGAGTTTGTAGTTTGTAAATTAAGAAGGATTTGTATTTGATCTCTATTATGTGTGTGTGTATAAATATAAGGGGTTATGTAAAAAATATTACTACAAATGAGTTTTGCACAAAAAATTACCTTTCTCAATTTCAAAAAATGAGACTAAAAAGATGATAAGAGACTATTATACCCTTGTACTAATATAATAATCTCACTCATTAGTGCTAAAATGATACAATGACCAATAGTGCGTCAGTGACAAAAAAAATCGACCGGACTCGATCCGCCATTCACATTTATCTGATCCGTCAGTTACAATTACTTTCTCCGCGAGTTACAATTACTTGATCCGTCAATCATAGTTACTCGACCGGTCAATTAAAATTAGGGAAAAGTACAGAAAACCTACCTGTGGTTTGGGCCATTTTCAGATAGGGGCATGTATTTCATTTTCTAACAAAGTGGGATATGTGTTTCAATTCCGTTATCATAGCAGGGGCATGACGTCTAACGCCGTTAGAAAAATTAACTCCGATTTTAAAAAGTATCCGAAAAATTAAAATGAAAATACTGGGAGGTGCGCCTCGTCTAGGAGATCAACAAACTATCTTTCTCTTTGGATTTTTCGCCTCTATTTGGATTATTTTTTAAAAACAAATTCGCTAATATAAATTTTCTGGTGGACTTTCTAGAGATATGGTGGCTAGAAACAAAAAAATAAAGATAGTTTGTTGATCTCCTTGACGAGGTGCACCTCCCAGTATTTTTCTTTTAAATTTTCGGAGACTTTTTAAAACCGGGGTTAAATTTTCTAACGGCGTTAGATGCCATGCCCCTGCTATGATAACGAAATTGAAACACATGCCCCTATCTGAAAATGATCCAAACCATAGGTACGTTTCATGTACTTTTCCCTTAAAATTATCTGACCCGCTAGTTACAATTATTAGACCGGTCAATTATATTTATGGGTGGTTCTATTTGCAGCCCCACATTTGCTAATCACAGCCACACTATTAACTTAAATACCTATTTTACCATTCTTGTTAAATCAAATCCATTGATACAAAAACCCTTCGTCCGCCAATTTGTCCTACCTGATATGTGCCCTTGAAGCTATGCGTGAGATGCAGATGAAGAGACCTAAGAGAAACGAATCTTCCAAGAACAGATCGAACCATTGAGGCTCCTTGAATTTCTTTTTATAATTTAAGACCTCAAAATTTTCCATTTGTTCACGTCAGGGGAAACCCATAAATTTAATTTGTTTTTTTTATGTTATCTTAATGGCATCACTCGAAAGATTTTGATTATTCGAATTATATAGTCTAACAAATACGGAGTATTATATATTCAAATTATTTGATTTGGTATGGTATCATAAGTTCATAACCCTATGCAACACCTGGGTATGGAGGATTTCAATTGCTGAACTTCATTATTTTGCTTAATCTTAAAGGAGAACCACTATGTTGGCCAGATAGTGAAAAAGAGAAATGAAGATGAACAGTATAACTTGTGATTTGTGAATCGATCTTCAATTACATAATACGGAGTATTAATTATTCTTTAATTATTCCGCAAATACATTTTTTTTATAAAAATTGTTCTGCAAATACATAAAGAATGCAATATAAAAAAAGATCCTACAACTCTATGAATGCAATAACATTATTGGTGCAAAGATCTGAATTTAGTTCATTAGTTAAGAGGGGAGATGTGAAATTCAAAGAGATGCAAACTTTTGGAAAGGAAAATAAGGCTTTTGCCGGCCTTGGCTCGTCGCATGATCGCATCGATCACTTGTGGAATATACAGGAGGAATAGTTATACGGAGTACTAAGGATAAATTAGACATTTTAATTAATTGGTGACTGCGTTTAGCAATTCAGAGGTTGTGAATAGAATTCCCCATATTTATTTGACCTGTCATTTAGAGTTATCCAATTCGAACAATTATATATCTATATAATTTGATCAATTACGATTACCGGATTCGACCATTTACAATTATTCGGGTCAGAGTTTGATAATGATTACCGTTGACCACCACTTCCGAAAACAGCCAGAGCCCAAAACGATATGGGCCTTGGCCCAAAACAGAGGTTCAATTTTGACTCCATCACATCACATTCAAGAAAAAGAAGTGGCATACGAGGTTCTGTTGCAGAATTAAGCAGGTGAAAATGAAGCTGAAGCAGCTAGAGGGGCTTCTTGGTTCTCTTGAACAGTTCACCAAGCCCAAGGTATGATCTTTCTTTCTATAAGCTTATGGATGAATGTCTATTTTTATGGTTTTTCTTTGAATATTAGATTTTCTGTTTTATGGCAGATTGAACTCGAACAATACCCAACTGGAGCCCACATAGCTTCCCGGGTGCTATACACTGTAAAATCTGCTATGTTTTTATACTTTCTACAGATTCCTTTTGTTTAGTTTGTTCTTGGAATTGATTGTAAGGGGGTGTTTGTATTTGATTCTTAAAACTGCTTAGGGAGCAGAAGCAAGTTGGAGTGTTTGGGTGAAAGTACAGAAGTGATTCTGTTGTTACTCCTAGAATTAGTTTTTTTAGAAACTGGTGGAGACCAGCTTCTGAATACTGATTCTGATTCTGCTTCTACTTTAAAAAAGAAGCAGAATCAGAATCAGTTCCAAACACCCCCTAAGTTTGATTCCCATTTAGTATTGCGAGCAATTTTAGAGTGTTGCCGTTCTTAAGAAATCGTGTTTTCTTTCTGTGATAAGTTTAGGCTGAAACTTCATATGGGGATGTGAGCAATAAGGTAGTTGCGGATTTTGGTTGTGGTTGTGGTACCTTAGGCATTGGTGCAGCTCTCTTAGAAGCAGAGTAAGTGGATAACACTAATGCACTATCCCCCGAGTATTCCATTAATTAGAAAAAGCTAAAAATTCGATCTTTGAGACTGTACTTTATGAGTAATTAAGTCATTTATGTCAGTTTAGATTCTTTTTTTGGAATTTATAAAATTCTGCTAATAATTTTTTTAATTATCCATCGCAATAGACATGTTATTGGTCTTGATATAGACAGCGAGTCTCTTGAGATTGCAGTTGCAAATGCTGAAAACCTTGAGGTGCTTGTTTCTTGATTCTTAGAATTGATCCCTACTCTATTTTTATTTGGTTCTATTGATGGCTAGTGGGGTTCTTGAAAGGTACTCTCAAGTAGCACCACAGTTGTTCAATTGATTTTTATTATTCCTGCAGGTAGATATGGATTTTGTTCAATGTGATATTAGTAAATATCAATGGAAAGGTACCTGTGTCGCTTTGTACTTCATAAACTGTTGGTTTCCGAATTTGTACTTTATAAAGGATATTAATATCACTGAATTTTTTAGATTGTTTACTGCTCTTCTACTAATCCACTTGTTAAGTCTTCATGTATAAGTTTAATATTGTTAAGCACTTTTATTTTCATATCATAGAATTGATTTTCATGATGGCTAGGAATGACATGTAAAGATGCAAATTGCGTGTTGAGAAGATAGTTGTTATAGGCAGTTTCAAGATTCAAAAGGAATGAATCATTACTACGCTCATTTTCCACTTGCCAGGGGACAATTTTTAGGTTAAAAAAGAAAATGCGTGATTGAGGTTTTTAAATGAAGAGGCCAAAAGTAACTCCTATTCATAATAATCGCTTTAATCCCTACTGCACTAGGGTTGGTAAAATGAAATTTAGTGTCAGTTAGTTGTCTAAAATTAACCTAACTCAACTCTACCGTCTCTACCAATTAATGAAACAAAAGCATGAATTAAGCCAATAAGTTGATGTTAACTCTGTGTAGGCCAAATGTTTGATACTGTTGTTATGAACCCACCATTTGGAACACGGAAGAAAGGTGCTGACATGGATTTCCTTTTTGTGGCGTTGAAGGTGGGAGCAATGTTGTTAAATTTGGAGTTTCAGTTATTGTTCATCCGTATGCATGAAATTTAGTTTCTAATTTTTGTTGTTGTTAGGTTGCCTCCCATGCAGTTTATTCGTTACACAAGACTACAACTAGAGAAGTAAGTCTTCCTAACCTATCAACTCTACCATTTAGTCATGCAAGCTTAAAATGTGTTTTGAACCATCACATGTTCATATGTAAAATTAAAGCAAAATGTAACTCCTCTACGCTTCCATAGAAAATGGTTCAATATCTGTCTGCTTCATTGATTGGATAAGAAAGAAATATCAAGTTTCCTCCCACCAAATGTTCTAAAAGGTGTTATGTGCTAGTGGGCGGTGACCTGCTGCCCAGTTCCAAGCTCATCGCCTGGGCACAGCTCGTCTCCCTAAGTTATTTATGACTTCTAGTGTTATTTATTATTGGGTTATATATATGTTGCTAATAAGAAATGTTCATATAATTCTTAAATATTGTGAAATATGCTTTAGAATATTATATGAATATGCTTTAGAAATTTTGAAGAATATGCTCTAGGATACCATTATCCAATATTACATTATTGGAATATTCTATGTCCTTATTGTATATTTATAAGGACTTGAAGTCTTAAAACCTCCAATAGAAACAAAGAGAGATATTCAATTATCTTATTTTCTTAGTTTAAAAAAATACCGTAGTATCATGTTATTTCTTAAAAAGAATGCTTCATAAACTAACTAATAAATTTCTAAAATAAAATAAAAGGTTGTGTTTTGAATTTTGAGTCATTGGTATAGTTCAATGATGGATCAGAACTGATGGCGTTGTACTGATCTAATTGGTTGACTGATTTCCCTAAACAACTTGGAAAAATCAGGGCATGCCGACCACCACACAGCGCCTAGCCCAACTTAGGCAGGCGTTCGGCTTTAAGAACAGTGCCTCCAACTATGCACAATTACTCATTTAGGCCTTCACATAAACAGGTTACAATTTCGCACTTGATTGACGGAGTCCTCTAAGGCTGTTAGATTTTCGTGGTGCCTCTATAATGTTTTTGTTCATGGAATGTCCAGAGAAATCAGGAAGGTAACAAACACAATCTTACCTGATTTACTCATTTGGTGGTAATTACAGCACATCAGACGGGCTGCATTGCAAGATTACAATGCTATTAGCGCCGAGGTTATATGTGAGGTATGGATAGCTGTTCACATTATAGAGTGGTCAACTATACGAATTGATTCTCTTCCATTTTCCAGCTACGATACGATGTGCCAAAGCTATACAAATTTCACAAGAAAAAGGAAGTGGACATTGCAGTGGACCTATGGCGATTTGTTCCTCCAAGACACACTAATAGTGGTGTACATAGTTAATCATACTATTAATAATTTCATTCATTGGCAGACTCAGAATTGTATTGTCAAAAGTTTTGAGTCTGCATAAGTTCAACTAAAAATCTTTTTTGAGGCAGTTATTTAGTCAAGCATGCAAAAGGCGGTGCTGGAGGTAAGCTATATGCTCCCTCTTCCCATAATGTTTTCTTCTTTTTGGCTATGGGCTGAAATTTCTTTATTTCAGCTAATAATTATTTGGGGGAATTTGACTTTGCATCCCACGTTTTGGGTGATATTAGACTTTGCACCCCATATTGAAAAAACTTTGATTTTGCACCCCAACACATAACATTTTGTGAAAAAAACATTATAAATGGGATACAAAGTCAAAGGATTTTTAAGTGGAATGGAGTGCAAAATCAAAGTTTTTTTTTTTGAAAATGGGGTGCAAAGTCCAATATCACCCAAAAAGTGGGGTGCAAAATCAAATCCCCCCTAATTATTTAACTAGCCCTGTTTGGATGCAAGTCTAAACCTGGATGAAAATAAAAAACCAGGTTGAATCAAAACGTTTGTAACGCTAGCGTTTCTAATAAGCGGATCATATAATACCTTCCGATCCCAAAGTACCCCGTGCATATACCCGATGAAGACCATTAATCATTCTCTGCTCATTGCTTTGAAGACTATCTGTCCACCTTCTTTTCCATACCACATGAATAAAATTATTTTTGGAGGACAGACGCATAGACAATTAATATATACAAACAAGGGTGAGATGTTTATATTACATATACATGTATAAATTCAAAAATATTACACACACACATTAAAAGGGTGAAAATATAAAAATCATTATAATGAATATTTTAATCTATTAATAAATCATATGTCCGTTAATGTAATTTTATATTATCCCAACTCTAGACAATAGTATCTGATTCAGATAATAGTCCCTAATTCAGACATTAGCGTGTAGCATGCAGTTCTAGCTCGTTGTGCCAAACATAGCCTTTATTGTTGATATCATTTATCTTAGTTCTAAAACCTGTAATTATTCTAATAGTCTTTTTCTCACCTGCTGATCCATTATGTTTTGTATTTATGACTTCCAACTCTCCAAAATTGTGAGTAGAGCAATTGTTACTCCTGTGGGCACACTGGATTCACAGTTCTTACTTTCTCTTTCATTCTTCATTCGTTTCTTCTCTTCTTCTAAAGAGTATTTATCTCCTTTGAATCAAGCCTTAATTTCATTCATTTCCTTCCCATCACATTGAGACAACTCTGTTCACATTGCTCTAATGAGCAACCACGATGAATTTTAGTTTGATTATTGGAATATGGCAGGTTTAATTTTAGTGAAAATGTGTTTTGAAGTTTTGAGAACTGTTCATTACCTCTATAAGTTATATGCATAAGTTCTGAAGTTTTGTGAATTAGGAGTTTAAGTTTTGTTTTTTTATTTGATCATATCATACATTCATATGGTAGGAAAACTGGTTGGAAAAGAGAGGGTATTGTATATTGGGAAGTTTGCTAAAATAGTAGTAAAACAGTGTGTTTTCCCTAAGTAAGAGTTACTATGTTTCCTGAAGGACTAGAGTACTGTCGTTATCTATATCTATATATACCTTGTGAGTTGACTCAGGATGGACCCAGTCCCGATTCCGGTCCTAGACCGGCCGGTCCTAGACCGGCCGGTCCCGGGTATTATTTGTAAAGACCGGAACTGACCCGGGGTATAACGTACCCGGTTCCAGTCCTGGGGGGTCCAGTATTTTTTTTTCAATTTAATGTATAGAATTTGAATAGAAGTAGAATGGTGTTAGTTGGTGTAGTGTGAAAAAATGTATAAAATGCATGAGTAGGTATATATAGGAAAAAATTCTGGTAACCCCCCACCCCCAAACCCCTCCCCAAGTGCCAAAGAGCCGTTACTAGCCGTTCCAAACGGCTAGTTTGACCCCAGCCCCACCCCTAATTAAAATCCAATAAAATAAAATAAAATGGCCGTTGTGACTGGAATTGGGACCGGGACCGCCCGGTCCGGTCCCCAAACACCCTACCCAAGACCGAGAGCGCCTGAACCCTGGTCGGTTACCCGGTCCAAGCCTAGGACTGGAAAACCGGATCCGGTTCGGTCCTGCACAGTGGCGGGTCTGGTTCCGGTCCCTAGAGTCGGTCCGTGACCGCCTAACCGGGTCCATCCCTAGAGTCTTACCCAGCAAATCAACTGTGTAATTGTGTGAAGGTGTGAAATAAAGTTCCCAGAGGCTGGTATTGTTCATTTGTTCCCTTTATCTACTCTGTACTACGGAGTAGACCTGTACAAAACCGGGCCGGCCCGCCCGGCCCGCCCAGCCCGCCCGCACAAATTAGCGGGCTTGGGCATATATATTTACCCACCGGCCCGGCCCGGGCCCGGCCCGCAACAACATATGGGCGAACTTGGGTTAGGGTGTAGGCCCGTTCGGGCCGATAAGCCCGGCCCGCTACATTTAGTATATATACATATATATTTTTTATATACTAATTTATGTATTTATTTACATGTACACATGTATATTTTTATATTTACTAATTTTTCTGTATACATATTTATAGTTTATTATGTTTAAATTTTAGTTTTTAGTTCTTAACAAATAGTCCAACCAATATAATATCTATTTTTGTACTTAACGATAATACTTTGTGCATGAATTTTAAATTTTAGATATAGTTTCTCATTATTATTTTTGTGTAAATATTTTTTGTGTATGTGATGAAAGGTCTATATACATTATAAGCGTATTAGCAATTTTTTAAATGTTTTAATATTATTTATAAAGTATTAAATAAATTATATAATTTTGAAAAAATTAAAGTCTTCCCGGGCCCGGCGGCCCGGTGGACTACCCGGCCCGCTCTTACGGGCGGGTATGGACATAGGGTTAGGCCCGTTTTTGCGGGCCGGGCCGGGCCCGCCCACACACCATGGGTAAAAAACTTATGAAAAGCCCGGCCCGAGCCCGGCCCGAGCCCGCTTTTGTGCAGGTCTACTACGGAGTATATAGTTTAGATTTCTTTTAATTTGTTGTCAATTGGTAAGTTTCTTATACTACGTAGCTTATTGTTTACTACGTAGTATTTCAGAGTGTTTATTGAAACGTTTTAAATTAAATGGTTAAGAAAGAACTTAGCAATTGACGATGAGTGAGTGATCTTATGGGCAGTTCTCGTGCATCATTCAAGAAACTAAAAAGGACCATTAAAACAAGAAATATTTATTCTATCATCTAAATGATTCTAATCCTACATTTTTCTAATTTGAGTCATCACATACGCTTAGGGGTGGACCGGTTCCGGTTCGGGCCCGGTTCGGGCCTGGGCCCGGCCGGGCCTCGGTTCAGAAAAAGGAGGCCCGAGCCCGAACCGGTGGTGGGCGGTTCCGGTTCCGGTTCCGGGCCAGAACCGGGCCGGGCCGGGCCGGGCCGGGCCACCCGGAATGTTTTTTTTTTCTTCTTCTTCTCTTATTTAACCCCCTACCCCTCCCCCTCCACCCCAAACCACCCCAAACCACCTCAAATGGCCCAAAATACCTAATCCAACCCAAAACTTAAAAAAATTTCAAAAAAAAAAAAAAAAAATTAAATTCCGGCCCGAACCGGGCCCGGCCCGGCCGGGCCGGTTCACTAAACTGGAGGCCCGGGCCCGGACCGGTATACAACCGGGCCGGGAGGCCCGAACCGGAACCGAACCGGTTCACCGGGCCGGTCCGGGCCCGCACAGTAGCGGGCCGGTCCGGTTCCGGGCCGGTTGGCCCGGCCCGAGTCCATCCCTACATACGCTGACATTTTTGGCAAACTATTGTCTTTTCTATTTCAATTAAAGTCTTATTTAATTATTAAATAAATAAATAATAACTACAAACTTAAGTCCAAGCTAAAAGCAAATATAATCTACTACGTATAACAGTATAATACTCCGCACTTCCGTAGTACATCATGCATGCAGCTCCAAAATTTCCCATTTTTTCATATGCTCATTCATAAAAATAGGATGATGCCCCATCCTGAGGGCCTATGTTTAGGGATGGACTCGGGCCGGGCGGCCCGGCCCGGGAACTGGTCCGGGCGGCCCGGCCCGGGAACCGGTCCGGGAGGCGGTTCGGGTTGGCCCGGCTCGGTAGGAATGTGGTTCGGGCTCGGGCCCTAGGATTGGTGAACCGGCCCGGCCGGTTCGGACCGGTTCGGGCCATTTTTTTTTTTTGATTTTTTTTTTAAGTTTTTGGGTTGGGTTGGGTATTTTGGGCCATTTGAGGTGGTTTGGGGTGAGGGGGGAGGGTTGGGGGTTAATTAGGAAAAGCCAAAAAAAAAAAAAATTAGAATCGAGGCCCGGCCCGGCCCGGACCCGGGATTACTCGGGCCGGTTCCGGGCCTCCCATTCTTGAACCGAGGCCCGGCCGGGCCCAGGCCTAAACCGGGCCCGAACCGGAACCGGTCCACCCATACCTATGTTACAAGAATTGATCGAATAGCCTATACACGAGAAGTAAATTGAGTTTTGATCTCACTCTAATGGAAATAGAGTGAAGCTCCACCCAAGCCATTACTTGGTGAGCTTCGCTCCCGGTTTCATATTTTTTTTTGGTACATCAGAATGGAAAAGAGCGAACAAAAAGAGAGAAAAAAAGTTACAATCTCAGAAATTCTAAGCCATTTGCGTCTTCCCAAAGGATCTTTTCGAGGCCTATAGGAGGTGATTGTAGAATAGTTAGTCCCCTTGGAGCCGAGTGTGCCAAGTTAGCAAGAAAATCTGCACACCTATTGCCCTCTCGTAGAATATGTCGTAAGATCAAACCTGGACAGTCCTGCATTAAGTAACGACAATCTTCCACAAGTGTGGCCGAATTATCATCTTCTTCCGATGTGTGCTTCTTAACTGCTAAGATAGCTGCCTTGCAATCCATTTCAACTTCCACCTCTGTCCATCCATTATCCTTGATTAAGACGAGCCCCTGTCTCAAACCCCAAAGCTCTACGCCAAAGCTATTTGTTTGTCCAACATTGATGAGAAAACCCATTATCCATTCCCCGTTTTCATTGCAAAAAACCCCGCCTGCACTGACGCCCACCCCGTTTTCTTTAAAGGCTCCATCGGTATTAATTTTTAACTTCCCCTGACATGGCGGGCTCCATTTGACCATTCTCGGGACCTTATGTACCTGGTGATGGGTTGATCGGAGGCTAGTGCATGCTTCTAGAGCTTGAGAAGATGCCCACCTACTAATAATGTGTGGCGGGTAATGTATGTTGTTAAAGACCACCTCATTTCGGGCCTTCCATAGGTTCCAGATTTGATAAGCAAATATTGATCCATGTGTAGCATGGTGGCCTTCTTTCACTTTGCAATTTTGTTTCAACCAATCCCCGACGTCGTTAAATTGTTCCAGTTTTTTGTGGGGAGGGAGACAGAGCAGTTTCCAGCACTCCCTAGCCCGCTCGCAGTCCCAGAAAAGGTGGCGAATGGATTCTTCGCCCAATTTGCAAACCGGGCAAGTGGCGTCTTCTGTTAGACGTCTATGAACTCTTTCTGTATTTGTAAGTATCTTCTGTTTCCAAACCAGCCACACAAACAGTCTTACTTTTTTAGCTACTTGGATTTTCCAAATCCAATCGGTGTCTACATCTGAATCTGTGGTGAGAAACGATGAATAGGCTGATTTAACCGTGAAACCTCCTGATTCAGACATCCCCCAGAAGATACTGTCTTCTTGATTCTTTTTTATAGGGATAGGGACTGCTCTGACCACTTCTAGCACATTGTTGTCTAGTATTGATTCAAGAGCCTCGATATTCCATTCCCCTTGTTGCAAGATGTAGTTGGACACTTTGATTTCAATCGCCTCCATAGGAAGTTGTGAGTCAACCATGCTGCTAAGTGGTTTTTCACCCGCCCACACATCTGACCAAAATCTTGTTCTATTTCCATTCCCGATTTTCCAGCGAGCCCCTTTCGCAAGGATTTGTCTCGTTCGTACAATACTTCGCCAAATGTGAGAGGCTGTTGGCTTAAGCTCCACTTCCCAAAGGTCGGCATTTTTCAAATATTTTTCTATTAGGGCTGAAACCCAGATTTTGGGCTTTTTTTTGGATAATTTCCCATCCTAATTTTGCCACCAGAGCCATGTTCATGTCCTTTGCCATTCGCAAGCCTAACCCCCCCTCTTGTTTTGGTTTACACACTTCATCCCATGCCACCAAGTGAATTTTTCTTGCATTTTCCTCATCTCCCCATAGGAAGTTTCTGTTAACCTTATCAATTTCCGTGCAAGTGCTCGTCGGGAGGAGTATACTTTGCAGGTAAATTACACGGTACAACCGGCTGTACCTAGCGCATGGTACAACCGGGTTTTTTTTGTAATTAACTTCAACTCTGAGGCTTATTTTGCTTGTCCTTCCTATTGATCGTCCTCTTCTCCTTCCTATTGATCGTCCTCTTCTCCCAGTTACAGCCGCGATCTCTACTGCCATTCAACCGCGATTCTCTCCAGGCTTTCCGTCTCGTTATCGATTGAAGTAAAATTATCTTATTGATTCATAGTTTCTTCCAATTTTTCTTCTTTAATGTTTCCATCTTTGCTGTTAGTTTCGTTCTTCTTCTACAGCTTTCGTCATTGTGCTTATTTTTATTATTTAATTTTATTTCTTCTTCTGCAGGTTTAGGTTTCAGCTTTCATGGAATCTAGTGATACCTTGAGTCAAGCTTTTTTGTCTAGAACAGAATGTAGTGTTCCTATGCTACCAAGTATTGTGCTTTCTTACATTTTATCACTTTGTAATGCTTTTTTATTATTTTGATGAGCATTGACTTACTTAGTAATGATTATCTCTGTTTTCTGTTTTGCCTTGTTATCCGCTATGTAGATGATATTTCTTGCAGTGGCAAATTAATAGAGGCTATTGAGGCCAGAGGCGAACTTTTTGATGTTGATTGCAGTACTGATTTCTCTCTTTACAAGTTACATAGTGTTGTTTACTTTGAGTTATTATTATTCATTTGTGTATTTTTTAAAATTCAGCTTATATGGAATCTGACGATACTTTCAGTGAAGATTTTTTGTCTAGAACTGAATCTGTTGCTGTCCTACCGAGTAATTTCCTTTTTTACATTTTATCACTTTTTAATGTTTTGTTGTGTCATTTAGATGATTATTGTATTTCTTAGTAATGATTATATGTTTTCTTGTTTTGATGAGTTTTCATTTTTTGATGCAGTTCAAAATTCTTCTGCTTTTATTCATGTAGCCCAATCTGAAGAGCCTTTGTCTGTTGAAACTATATCTGTTAAGGAAGCTGAAGTTTCTGAACTATTGGGTACAACAGTTTCTTCAGAAAATGAGGCATTTGAGCTATATAATGACTATGCTTATAGAATTGGATTTGGTGTGCGTTATTCTACTTTGAGAAAGCGAGTTGGTAGTTCTGGTTTTAGAGGCAGAGAATTTTGTTGCACGAAACAAGGTGCGAAGAGGAACAAAGGTGTTGTAGGTAAACAATATACAAAAGTTGATAGGCGAACTGGTTGTAAGGCAAAAATATATTTTGAGATAAAGCCTACTGGAGATTTTGTCGCTGTTAGACATGACATGCTTCATAATCATGAATTTTTCCCAAATTCTTTAGTTCATCATGTTAGGTCTCATCGTGCTGTTTCGTCAAGTGAGTTAGAGTATTTGCAACATTTGAAAAGTAAAGGAGTTAAAATAGCAGATGGGTTTCGTTGCTTGCAAGCTGAAGCAGGTGGCTCTCCTTCTGTCGGTTTTCTTTTACGTGATGCTTATAATGAGTTGACAAAAAAAACTAAAAAATCTTTTGATGGTTGTGATGCCAATACACTGATTAATACTTTTAAGAACAGACAGGCAAATGAAGAAGATTTTTTCTATTCTTTTGAGGTTGATTTGGATGGTTCTTTGTGTAGTTTTTTTTGGAGGGATAAGAAAATGAAGGAAGATTATCTTGCATTTGGTGAATTGGTTATCCATGATACAACTTATCGCACCAACAAATATGATATGATTTGTGGACCCTTTATAGGTGTTAACTCTCATACTCATAATTGCATGTTTGGTTGTGGGTTCTTGTTGAATGAGCGAATTGAGTCGTTTGAATGGCTTTTTAATACATTCTTGCAATCTATGGGTTCTGTCCACCCAAGAACTGTTATGACCGATCAATCTGCTGCTATGGCTTCTGCAATTGCTACAGTTTTTCCTCAATCCAAACATCGTCTTTGTATATGGCATATCATTGAAAATTCAAAAAAACATATACGTGATTTACGCAATCAAGAGGGATTCTTGGATTTGTTTGATCATGTTTTGAAACTCTGTCACACGGTTGCTGAATTTGAACATTACTGGAATAGGTATGTTTCATTGTGCCTATTTTTTTTGTTCTTACACACTTGCATTTATACTGTGTTCATGAGTATTGTTTACATTGGTTATGAGTAAACAGTTTTACGAAGTGATTATACGTTTTAATGCATTATATTGTGTTTTTTGCAGAATGATCTCTGAATTTAATTGTTCTGGTAATCCTTGGTTAACCAAACTGTATGAATTGAGGGAGAAATGGTGTCCAGCTTTCTCAAAAGAATTCTTTTCTGCTGGCATTTTATCTTCTCAACGAAGCGAGACTACAAATCACTCTTTGTCTAGAAAGCTGAATGCTAACTCTTCTCTATGTGACTTCTATCATTTTTTTTTAGTGAAGCTCTCAGTCAATGGAGAAGTAATGAGGGAAAAGATCACCAGCGTTGTTTGGATGGTTATCCTGAAATTGTCATTCCGTATGTTAGTTTGTTGCATAAAGCTTCCAAAGTTTATACAATTGATGCATATAAACTATTTGAGAACGAATTTATGCGAGGTATGTCTCTGAAATTTGAACTTAGATACCATCAAGGTTCTTTAATGGGATATTTGGTATGGATGCCACACACAGATCGGTTTTCACATTGGGTTTCATTTGATTTAGCAACACATTTGGTTAGTTGTTCTTGTCAGAAATTCCCAGAGGCTGGTATTTTGTGTTGTCATATTCTTCGTATATATCATATTAACTGTGTAGAAGTTATTCCCGATTGTTATATTCTGAAACGTTGGACTCGTATGGCAAAGTCTCTTCCAAGTGAACAACCTTTTGTTTTGGATGATTCTTCCAATGTCTTACCTTCAGTTTGGAGATTGCAAATGCAGAAGAAATTTCACAAGCTTTTGTGCTCTAGTGATTCTAATTCTACAGCAAGGCAATTTTGTGAAGAATCTTTTAAAAAGTTGAAAATGGATGTTCAAGATCAAGTTGGAAGCATTTATTTCTCTGATAGTGATTCTACCTCAGTTGATGTCAGTTCAAGAATTTCTAATCCGAAGACTTCAAGGAAAAAGGGTGAAAGAAATGTGCGTCGCAAGAGTCTTATTGAAGTGAAAAACAATCAAGCCAGAGCAAGGAAAAAGTCACGTCAATCTAGTACATCAGCACCTCAGCACACAAGTTTGTAGTTAGATTTTCAAATATCAATGTTGTCACTGTTATTGTTCCCTCATTTGCTATTATTAGACTAATGTCTATTATTATATTACTCAGTGACTTTGTGTTGATACTCACAGTAGAACCTTTTCTTGATCATTTAAATTTATAAATTGCAATACTGTGTAATGGCTGACTATTCTAATGTCTATTATATTACTTTGCTGACATCTGTCGTTAAATTACATTACTCAACTTTTTTGTCTTAATACGCAGAACTTAAGTTTAATTTAATCATATATACATATCGATTGTTAGATCATTTATTTCGTTTATAGTTTACACTATAATTATTCTTGTCTATTGATAATCAATTAATTAAATATTATGAGTTTGATTACCAATGTCAATGATTATGTATATATTACTATTGTATTCATTCAAGATGAATACTATCATTTCTAAAATTCATCTCTTTTCATGTAATACAATAATTTTTAAGAATTTATACTCAAATTATTATCTATTTAAAAATGATTTTATATTATTACCTTGATGATTAATGACAAAATATTGCACAATAAATCCTCTACAACGCTCATTTTGCCTAGATATAATACTCATGTAGCCATCATGAGTAAACAAGGTGCTTTTAATGATCATTGATATATATGCAATATCTACACTACCATCATTTAATATTACAAAATTTATATCACCAGGAGCATATAAAGTGCTAGTCATATATTTCAAATGTTTTGCTTTTTTTTTTTTTTAAATTAAAGATTCTAAAATTCATCAAGACCAATATGATACAGAACAGTAGAACACAGAAGAAGATATGAAGTAAAATGCTCTTTAATGCAACGTCAAGTACAACTCACTAAGCCTTGGATGGCCAAGTTGCTTGAGCCGACATGATTATTCCTACTATAACTCCAAAGAGCCCCAATGCACTACCGAATATCTCAATCACCAGAATCTTAACAAAAAGTGTAGAGTTTTGTGCATCAGATAAAGCACAACTGCTTCCAATCACTCCAACGCATATCCCGCACACAAGATTGGCAAACCCAACAATTATCCCTGAAGCGAAAATTGCATAGCCAGCTGCAATGGACTCTGGTGCATGGATCTGGGAGGCAGGGACACTCTCAAGCTTTGTTTGGAGTATGATAGCCACAATGACACCATATATAGCAACTGCCTCACAAAAAATTACACTGATGAGATTTTTGGAGGTAATGCGAGGAGCTTTGATGGCAGCGCCAATCAAGCTACTTCCGGTTATATAGATCCCCCAAGCAGCTCCTAATACTGAAACGCCTATGGAGATGGCAATACCGATAGCTGAAAAGGTGTAGGGAGAGATCTGCGTCAATGCTCGCGACCAGGAGCTATGATCCCCAGCCATCGTAAATCAAAAGTTTATGAAGTATGTATTCAGAGCAGTGTTGTCAATGTGGGATAGCGGGCATAGCGGTCAACCCTCAAATCTGAAGAGGCGAAGAGCAGAACTCTGTACAGCACGCGCAGAGCAGTCGACCAAAGGATTTCAAATGTTTTGCTATTATTTGTTGTTACTTTATACTAAACTTAAATAGATTTCAAATGTGTAAATCTTTTATCGTATAAATGAGCATTGATGGATATAGTAATGATCATTAGTATAAAAGTAATGTCTAACAGCCATGATTCAATATTACATACTTTATCAATGTCAACCATCTAACAATATAGTAAAAGCCAGTAGTAAAAACATGTGTAGACATTCACATTCAAATACTAAAAAAAATGTTTACACTATAATTATTCTTGTCTATTGATAATCAATATATTAAATATTATGAGTATGATTACCAATATATTAATTATTACCTTGATGATTAATGACAAAATATTACTAGATATAATACTCATTTAGTCATGAGTAAACAAGGTGCTTTTAATGATCATTAATATATACGCAATGTCTAGACTACCATCATTAAATATTACAAACTTTATATCCCCACGAGCTTATAAAGTGCTAGTCATATATTTCAAATGTTCTGCTATTATTTTTTGTTTCTTTATACGAAACTCAAATAGATTTCAAATTCATAAATATTTTATCGTATAAATGAGCATTGATGGATATAGTAATGATCATTAGTATGAAAGTAATGTCTAAAAGCCATGATTCAATATTACATACTTTATCAATGTCAACCATCTAACAATATAGTAACAGCAAGTAGTAAAAACATGTCCAGACATTCAAATTCAAATACGCAAAATATGTTTCTTCCAACTACCACATTAAAATCAGATTTTTGGTCCTACATCACATTCTTTTGCTTCACTTTTTCCATCACTTCCACCCTGACTTCATTCTTATCATATGTCAATATTTTATGCACATACTTGATCCTCAGAGTCTGTATTCGTTTCTCCTGCATTATAATACATGTTAGTTTTAATATATCATGTGTCACCTAGTAATTCTATTAGTCAAAATTACTAAACATTTATGAAACAAATCTGCACTTACATTTCCTTTCTCAAGTCCACACTCCCAACCAACATCTCCATTGAAGGTTTCCATATGTCTCATCAGGTAGATTCCTTCGTTTTCTTTTTTGTCATTGTTTTGGCATGACATTGTTAATACTTTTGGCTGCATGCTTTTCACTTTCTCTGCATGTGGGTGCCTTACCTCTCTGAGCCACTTCAGAACAACACTTTTCTGTACATGTATGTATTCAAACAGTTCGTGTATTAGTATGTGTAATAACATGTGAACAATTAATATGTATAAATACCCATAATATTTATTCAATATACTCATTTACAAACCAAAATAATTGTTCTTTTAATACTTACCAGATTGGTTGGTTGATTACCGTACTTCATTTTTATTGCTATTTTCCTGTCACAGCTATCAATGATGCTGAACTTTGCATTCTTCAAATTAAAGCACATTAGGTAATATCTTCCATTCTTTACAGTTGGGAATAAAAACAAATCCATTTTGTCCACTTGTGGCAATTTTCTCTGGAATTGTTCCCGTGTGGCTTCAACAAACCTCTTAAGCTTTACTGTTGCAGTGCTAATCTGGTGTTCCTCCAATACTTTCTGTATATCAATTATTTAAAATATTACTTATAAATCTATGAGTAAAAATATATACAACACTAATTCTTACACATGGTGCTGCTGTCAATATCAGTCTCTTTCTCGATTCCGGGCTCCCAAGAGTCTCATAGTGGTTCAGAATCATTGCCCATATATCTATGACTTTAGGACTGACTTGGGAATTGATATCCAAAGACTGTAGTTCTTCCTTGGTAACAACAACATCTCCCTCTTTGAACAACACAATACTATTTTATTTGAAAAAAAAGTGGTCAACAAAGTGTCATCAAGTTATCAAATATTTAATATATATTTATATAATAATTCTTTTTTATAATAAGTATTCAGTTCCTTACTTTTTATCAATGCGGTCGTTAAACACAAACTCAGCCACTTTTATCTCTTCATTCATAATTGAGCCTTGGATATCAATAACTCTAATAAAATATGGAGACTTCAGGGGAGGTGCAACGTTTACTTCTCTTTTATCTGTCACTTGATTCTCCTGATCATAGCCTTCATCTTCAAGGGCAACCTGCTTTCCCTTTTCAGCTGCTGTCCTTGCTTGTTCTTCAGTTTCATGCTCCCTGCTTTCTGTTTCAACATTCACTTCATAATGCTCATTATGCAAATCTGCATACTCATTGAAGTCTTCATGATGCTCATTAGATTCCTGGGACAGTAATGTGAAGCTTGGCTTTTCATACTGTGTCAGTGTAGTCCTCTCATTTCTCTTCTTTTGCGCCTTCTCAATAGCTTCAACGGCTCTCAGAACTTCTTCTGTCCAGAAATCATCATCTGGTGTCAATGTTATTTCTTTTGCCTTTTCAGTTGTTGCCGGTTCTTTGGAGTATGTGTTGAACAGTCCATGGACTTTTTCAAGGAGCACCTTCATCATTTCGTCATCTGGCAAAACCTGCGCAGCCTGCTGAAACTTCTCGTCATAGATTGATATGCTTTCAGCCAACTGTTTAGCTGCCGCTGCGAATTCCTTCATAACGTCCTGCTTAATCATTACAACAATATCATTATAAACTTAATCATTACTATTTCTTGATCTAAAATAGTACATTTCTTAATTTTTAAAACATTATTATTACTTTTTTATATCTCAGCCATATATTTGTACTCATTATGTTGTAACAGACACTCATTAAAACATATCACTTGTAAAAAACTCGATTAAAAAACATGTGTCAAAACATTTTATTGGTGTTAATACTCATTGACATACAAAACCATTATCATTCTGTTATCTCCATTAACTCAGAATTAGTAGAAATTTAACATCGTTTCATACCTTTTCTGGTTGCTGTGAACATTCAGCTTCAGATTGTGTTGCCTTGTTTTGATCAACTCCTATCACTTCTGGTGTCTCAAGGGTTCCATGATTTGCTTCTTCTATGAAACCATAACCAAAGCCTCCGCTTTCCATCTCTTCTTTTTCTCTTTTATTCAAATGCTGTGTAGTCCATCCAATAAATGCTGGTGCTTTCCATAGAACATCTGCACATAGTGTGCATTTAGAATTGAGCATAAAATTATCAAAACATTTATTAGTATATTTATTCTGTTTAGCATTAAGAGTTCATAATTTTTTTATACTTACAATCAGAAACAGTATAGATCCAGGGAAATGCCGTGTTCTGTCCTTATTCCAAAAGTCTTTTGTATAGATCCACACCAGTCTAGATCCTTAACTCTTAACTCATCATCCAAAGCTTTCAGAATGTTTTGGTTCACGTAGCAGTTTAGCTTACCTTCTATCAATAGTGTCACTAATAGAACCAAAAAATTCTTCTTAAACCACCCTCCTCCTTCTCTGCTCTCCTCCAAAGTTTTCTTCAACTGGCCTGTTTTCACTTGGCCTTTCTCATTAGGGAACTGATTTCTCCACTCAGCTACCATTTCAGAAGTCAACTCACCTTGTGTGTCAATTTTCTCTTGTATATTTATTGTTCCTCTTGGGAATCCCAATGTGTAATGCACTGATTCTTCAGTGATGCGCACCTTCTCTTGATTTGGTAATATCAAAGACACGCTCCTGCTATCAAAGTTGTCTACAACCCAATGGCCGAGATTTGCAGGCAATTGCTTGACTTGAAGTAGTAATAAAGGTCCAAATCCCATCTCCACCACTTCTCTTTTCTGTTGATCACTCAGTTTTTCAACCACTTCTGTGAAACTCTTCGGAGACATTCTTGTCAAGATTTTTGGAAACACAGTTTCCTCCTCTTCAATATTAACTTCCTCTTCTTCATCTCTTTTTTGTTTTTCCATTTTCTTTTTCTTGTTCTTCTTTGACACAGTAGGCATGTTCCTAGTAACTCTCCTCTGCGTTGTTTCTTTTCTTTTCCTTTTTTTTGCAATAACTTCTGTCTTTTGAACTTCTGCTTTTTTCCTGTTTAGCTCATCTTCCTCGTTCAAATGCGCATCAGATTCTGTCTCTTGCTCATTCCCTTCTATCCATTCGTCTTCTTTATCTTCCTCGTTTTCTTGATCATCAATTTCTGTCTCTTGATCCTCTATACTTCTCTGTTGTTCATCTACCTCGTTCGGTTTCTCATGAACTTCTTTCACTTGCTCAACATTTCTGCTTTGGTCTTCATCTTTATTTCCGCCTTCTTCATCTTCATCCCTCTCTTTGTCAACATATTCTGGCTCAGCAGTATTCATCTGAACATCGTCTTCTTTCTGCACTGGAACATTATCTTGCACAATCTTCTCCAAAGCAACCTTCCCTGAAGTCATGCTTTTAGAACCTTTCTTAGTTTTTTTCTTTGTCACCTTTTTTGGTTTTTTCGGTGCTTGTGGACGAAGCACTGGTACTTCAGTAAGAGGAACTTGCTTCACATTATTTCCTTTATCCCTGCATTAATAATTGACATCAGGACATTGAGATATACATTATATGTATATATTGTGAAACAGAGAAATAAAGTGGTAATGATAATTTCTTAACATTGGTATGGGTAATACATACAAGCAAATGAATATTATATTACAAAATTTCAAACAACATTCACTTGTGCACAAAGTAATGCGTTTGGTACTATTGGTCATATACTTATTCTAATTCCTCACAACAAATGTGTTAGTACTCTATTTTATATAATGAGTACGCAGTGATGTATTATGAGTATTATATATAGTTTAATTAGCATGTTAAAAAAACAAGTCAAATAAGTTTCACATATTTCCTCTTATCATCAAACTACGTGTGTTAATTAAGAAAATCATTACTCAGTACACAAGTTTCATTATCACAACAACTATGGTTCAGTTCTATGTTCCCTTGTAATACCTTAAACACAATCCACTCTTCCTCACAACAAATGTGTGAGTTCCTTACTTTAA